ATAGTATTCTGTTATATATATGGGTGGGCTAGAGCGATAGCACGACGGGTAGGGCGTTTGCCTTGCATGAGGCCGACCCGGGTTTGATTCCTCCATCCCTTTCAGAGAGCCGGCAAGCTACCGGGAGTATCCCACCTGCACAGCAGAGCCTGGCAAGCTCCCCGTGGTGTTTTCGATAAGCCAAAAATAGTAGCAACAAGTCTCGCAATGGAGACATTGCTGGTGCCGGCTTGAGCAAATCAATGAATAACGGGAAAACAGTGCTACAGTGGACAGTGCTATATATATGGATGATATAGTTTAACTATAGAGTGATATGTTGATTGTTTCCTGGTTTTGGTGATTATAGGTAACGTTGGCAAAAGTATTTATGTGCATTTAGACATAAGAATTGTACAACAGCTGGAAAAATAGAAGTGATATCTCTATATACCATGAATATATTTAGCATTGTGTCTGCCATATTGTTTTCCAAAGTCGCTTTCCCATTTTATGTTCCTACCACTATTTTTTTAATTTAATTTTATTTTTATAAAGTAGTTCACAACATTTGCTTGTATTTAATATTTGAACACCAATCTCACCACCATTACACCTTCCCACCACCATAGTTTAGATGTTTCCATTTCAAACCCCAACCCCTGTCCCAAAGCAGAACTGAAATAATTTATTTTGTATTGTTTGTTATGAGTAATCTGCTGAAAATGCTCCAAAAAATATTTCCTTAGAGGAGAGTGTGTGAAGATTATTGTATTTCACAAAGTGGCCATTAAGCCCTCCTATAAGAGATTACTAGTATGTTGTTAAGGGTGAGCCTTGTGTGCTAATATTTATCTGTAAAAATTTATTTCCCTCTAAGATTATTTGCCTTCTACTTTAAACCCATCAAATGTGGTGCACTACTCTTTTTTTATTTTTATTTATTTGTTTATTTTATTAGTGAAACACCATGAGGTACAGTTGTAGATTTACAATTTTTTGTGCTTGGGTTTCGATTATACAATGATCAGATACCCATTCCTTCACCAGTGCCCATTTTCCACCACCATGGATAATATCCCCCCCACCCCCATCCCCCCATCCCCCCCTGCCTCTGTGGCAGGGCAATCTCCTGTGTTCTCTCTCTCCTTTTGGGTGTTGTGGTCTGCAAAAGAGGCATTGAGTGGCAAACATATTCAATCCATAGTCTACTTTCGACATGCATCTCCCCTCCTGGGAGGATCCTCCAAACACCCTTTATTTGGTGCTCCCTTCTCTATCTGAGCTGCCCTTTCCTCTAGAATGCCCGGCTGGCCACTAAGCTATGGAGTAATCCTCCTGGTGCTGATCTCAGCTATTCTTGGGTATTAATGTCCTATTTTGTTACTTTATATCCCCCAGATGAATGCAATCTTTCTATGTCTATCCCTCTCTTTCTGACTCATTTCGCTTAGCATGATACTTTCCATGTTGTACCACTTGTATGTAAATTTCATGACTTCATCTTTTCTAAGAGCTACATAGTACTCCATTGTGTAGATGTACCAAAGTTTCTTTAACCAGTCATCTGTTTTTGGGCATTCAGGTTTCTTCCAGTTTATGGCTATTGTAAAGAGTGCTGCAATGAACAAACAAGTGCAGATGTCACTTCGACTATACATTTTTGCCACTCTGGGATATATTCCCAGGAGTGGTATTGCTGGGTCAAATGGGAGCTCAATTTCTGATTTTTTGAGAATCGTTCATACTGTTTTCCAGAAGGGCTGAACCAGTCGACATTCCCACCAATAGTGAAGGAGTGTCCCTTTCTCGCCACATCCGCGCCAGCATCTGTTGCTTTTGTTCTTTTGAATGTGGGTCAGTCTCTGAGGTGTGAGATGGTATCTCATTGTGGTTTTGATCTGCATCTCCCTGATGATTATTGATGTAGAGCCTTTTCTCATGTGCTTTTTTGCCATTCGGATTTCTTCTTTGAGAAAGTTTCTGTTCATTTCATTGCCCCATTTTTGGATGGGGTTGGATGTTTTCTTCTTGTGGAGTTCAACCAGTGCTTTGTACATCCTTGATATCAACCCCTTGTTGGATGTGTATTCGGCGAATATCCTTTCCCATTCTGTAGACTGTCTTTGTATTTTGGTCACTGTTTCTTTGGAGGTTGGTGCACTACTCTTAGAGTATGAATGGAGTGAGGTATGAGATGTCAGTCCAGGAATAGGTTCAGTCATGGGCGAGCTTCGGCCCAAGTGTGTGGAGATTGGCCCTGAGTATGGTGTCTATTGAGTTCTGTAGGTTTTCGGCTGCTGGGGCTGGGTCCTTTGGGTCGGGGATGTGCCTCATCCACCAACTCCAGAGTGCCTGGAATGAAACAGCCTGGCATGGCTATGACAGTGTTGTCTTATGCTCTCTTCCGAAAGAGAAGGACAATGAGTCTCTGGATCCTGGCCATTGATGAGATTATCTTGCACCAGTCAGAGGTGGCTTGTCCCACCACCATGAGTATTTCTTTTGCTCTGCATCTTTGCCAACCACTGGTGCTACCTATTTTTGACTTTTTAGGTATTCTGATAAATATGTTGTAGGATTTAAATTTATATTTTCTAATGATAGATAATATTAAATATATTTTTTGTACATTTATTTCTTTTCTAATATTTTATCTGTTAAGATTTTCACCTGCTATGTACTTTAAATATAAATCATTATTTCTACATTTATATTTTCCCAGTGTGCGAAAGTTTTAAATTTTAATGCAAGCCAAGAAACTTAGCATTTTCTTCTAGGGATAGTATCTTATATCTACTATCGTCATTAAATTTAAGTTCATGCAGATTTTCCTGTGTTTTTCTCCAAGTTTCTAGTTTAAATCTGTGATCTATTTTCACTTAATCACTTAACTTCCCGTTAGTCGTCGATTTCCTCGAGCGGGCGCCAGTAACATCTCCATTTGTCCCTGTCGCGTGCTAGTGTAGCCCAATGGCATCTCTTCGCTCCGGGAACATGGAGGGCCTCAAACCGATCGTTCATGATCTTGACAAAGAAGTCTGACCATCTGGTAGGTGGGCGGCCACGCGGTCTCTTGACATCCCGTGGAATCCAATCAGTAACAGCTCTAGTCCAACGGTCGTCTTTAAATCTCATTACGTGACCAGCCCATCTGATTTTCGACACCTTGGCATATGAGACAGCGTCCCTGATCCTTGATCGTCGACGGATGTCAGAACTCCGGATTCGTTCTCTCATTTGAGTGAAACGTGATATTCCAAGCATAGCTCTTTCTATTCTTCTTTGGGAGACCTGAATGGCGTTCTCATCTTGTTTGCGTAGGGCCCAGGTCTCTGAGGCATATGTTAATGCAGGAAGAACAGTGGAATCAAAGAGATGTGCCCGGAGCCGGAGGTTCTTCGTCCTCTTAGCTATTTCTTCGACGTTCTTGAAGGCGTTCCAAGCCGCTCTCTTCCTCCTGAGCAGCTCGGGTGCCAGGTCATTTCTCATGTTGACCTCTCGACCTAGGTAGACATAGCTGTTGCATTCGGAGATGGTCGTTCCATTGAGAGCGAATGGGGCGTCAGGAACAAGGCTGTTTCTCATAAACATTGTCTTCGTAAGATTCAGCTGTAGTCCTACCTTTCCACACTCACGGTCAAAGTCGGCCAGCATTTGTGCCGCTTGGCTGATGTTTGGTGTTATTAAAACAATGTCATCAGCAAAGCAGAGGTGGTGTAGTTGCCGACCATCTATCTTCACTCCCATTCCTTCCCATTCCAGTGATCTATTTTGAGGTAATATTTTTGTAAGCTTTCAACTCTCTAGAAAGGTTCATTGTTCTACATATGTTTATTCAATTTTTTTAGTACTGCTTTTGAAAAGATTAACTTTTTTGAACTTCCTTTTAAACCAATATAAAGAAAATATCATTTAGGAGGGTCAGACAGATAGTACAGGGTTTAAGGTGCTTTATTTATACGTGGATCCCCAGTTTGATCCCCATCACCACATACGGTCCCCTGTGCACTACTAGGAGTGATCCCTGAGCACAATGTTTAGGCTACCCCTGAGCATCACCAGGTGTGACCCAAACTCAGTTGAGGGTCCAGAGAAATACGACAGGGGTGGAAGTGCATCCCTTGTGTATAACTGACCCAAAGCACTACTGGGATGGCCTGGGTATTCCCCAATATCACAGAACCCAAGCAGCATCAAATTCTTAAACCCTGGCATTGAACCACTGACCTGGTTGGCCAAATATGACTTGGGAAACCTCCACAGCTGTCAAAGTCAGTTGAGTATGTTTGTGTAGGACTCTTTTTGGATTCTTTGGTTGTTCCATTCATTCATTTGTTCTATCACTGTGAATAGACACTTCCAAATTTCTAGCACTTTATTATGAAAAGTGGATAGTGTTGGGTGCTGGAGCAGCAGTACAGAGGAAAGGGCATTTTGCCTTGTATGTGGCCCACTAGGACTAGATCCCGGCATCCCAAATTTTCCCCTGAGCACCACTAGGAATAATTTTTTTTTTTAAATAAAATGAATCACCATGAAATACAGTTACAGACTTACAAACTTTCGCGCTTACATTTCAGTCATACAATGATCAAGTACCCATCCCTCCACCAGTGTCCATTCTCTACCACCAATGTTACCAGTATCCCTCCCACCTCCGCCGCCGCCCCCCCCCCCCCCCCCCACCATTGTGGCAGGCAGATTCCCTTTTACTCTATCTAGGAGTAATTCTTGAATGCAAAGCCAGGGGCAACCCTGAGCACCGCTAGGTGTGACCCAAAAAGACCCCCTCCCCCCCAAAAAAATAGAAGGGAAGAAAAAGAAAAGCAGGTCATTAAGTTTGTTGATTTTGTGTTTTTTTGTTTGCAACATTGGATTGGTTATTTTAGGTTCACTGTCTCTCCACAAATATCTGAATTTGTATGTTTACAGAATTTGAAAGGAAAATACCAAGATAAAAATAGTTGATCTTCAGAAGTAGTAAATAAATGTGACATTTCTTATTTTTTTTGGTATAGGTGGTTCTTTGAAGCTCTGAAGTACCCTAAGTTTTCCAAAGCTAACATCATCAATGGAGTTCTCATGATGGTGGTGTTCTTCATTGTGCGGGTTGCTGCCATGCCTCCTTTCTATTACTATGTTTATTCTGTGTATGGAACCGAACCCTACCTGAAGCTTGGACGTGTAATCCAATATTCCTGGATCTCTAGTTGTTCAATTTTGGATGTAATGAATATCATGTGGATGATCAAAATTTCAAAGGGGTGCATCAAAGTCATCACTCTCTTCAGAAAGGAGAATAGCAAAAATAGACTTCAGAATGGAAAACTCAACTGACATGGGTTATTGATGAGCACAATTTATTACTACCTGTATTATATCTGCTGATAAGATACATTCTTGGCATGTTCTTGTGCTTCTTCATTAATAACACTTGTTATCCAGGGTTCTGGTGTCTTTTATTTCACCTTAGAAAAGAAAAACAAAAAAATTAGTTTTTATCCCAAGATTTCTTGTCTAATTTTCTTCTGCATCATAAGCATGGATGAAATTAACGGTTTCAATAAAAATCATAAATATAGTATGAATCTTTTCATAAAACTCTTAACCTTTGTTGGTATATTCTCTGTGAAAAGATGCTGTACTTGGTCTTAGTTCTGTAATTTTGTGGAAAGTATGGGAATTGCTTTAAATCTGCAAATAACTTTCAACATTTTGTTCTACCACCCTCACTTCTTAATATGGTCATAAATACCTGTGTAAGGTTTAAATATCTAAATTAGAGAAATGTTAATTCAGAGATTACTAAACGTAATGAAATTTTCACTTTAGATATGCTACCATCTCTTGATACTGAAATATTTTACTTTGGAATTACTTAATCAGTAGGTTATAGAAAATTCCTATATTTTTGAGTTTTTTAGATACCATTTAAAAATTTTAATCACTTATCAAAATATACTTTATTTTATAGTAAAGCTAAGACAGATCTTACAGACCTAAGAGATGAATTTCTCCTTCAAAAGGTGCATGTAATAGATTATTGGACTAAAAGGAGGAATAATTAAGAAAAAAAGTTTTCCCATTGCAGTTTCTGTTTCTTATATTTGTTTCCATAAAAAAATATATTTCTCTTTGCAAAACATCCCCTAAGTTTAGAACTCAACAAAATCAGTAACAAAGTCTTATGCATTATGTATTTATCTACTTCTAAATAGCCTCTTCTTAATAAAACTACACACACACACAAAGGATTAGTAATTTTTTTCATAGTTTTCACATTAGTTCTGAGTTTGAATGCTTTGAATTTTGATCCTTCTTACGGGGAAAAAGATAGTTAATTTACTCAAGTAGTATGACTGTCAATATTATTGTCTTATGTCATGATAAATGACAGGTGACTGGCCTTTTGTTTGTGTATTTAAGTTCATTTACTTTTGCTTTGGTTTTGCAATTCAAATACAGTTTTCTGTTAGTTATTGTTGCCTTGATTTATTTTCTCAAGTACTTGACTGAAATAATTGTTCTTAAGAAAAATTTTTATTTTAATCAGCGGTGAATACTTGAATTTAATTGAAGTCAGTATAAAAGATGCAATCCATTTGTTTTTACAGTTTAAAATAAAACATTTGACTCCCTTTAATTCTTTGTTATGACAATGAAGGGAACCTAGCTGGATATATTAAGACTTTTGACTTGATTTGGCTGTTCAGTGCAGATAGAACCTGGTATGTGTTAGTATGTGCAAGATACTAATTTCAGTCAGTAACTAAAGGATAAGTGGGATTGATTGACTACATTTATTTTTAAAAGAATTAAAAATAATTATTTTTAAAAGAATTTAAAAATAAAAAAATCTCCTTCATGGCGAGGGAGATGGCTCAAAGGGCTGGAGCACATGCTGGATCCCCAGGTCTGCTCCTCAGCACCACATGGTCTCTCAAGTACCCCTTACATCGCCACCGCAAATTAAAATAATGTGAAAAATAGGCATTTACTTTTGAAGCTAATAATATCAATGATTTATCACTAAATTTAGTGCCTTCCACATGATAGGAATTTAAATATGTACAGGTTATTTAGAGGTGATAAGAAAGTCTATGGTTTTATCTTATTCTTTTCTTGCTCTTTTGCAAGGAAACTGGGCTTTTAAATGGAAAAAATTTGTATTAAAAACTATTTTAGAAATTACTCCTTGGAAAACAAACAAAACTTGAAATCATATTTTTGACTCTGGATATTTCTAAGGTTTCTGAATGCAGATTTGAAATCCACCATCAAAATGAAGACAGTGTAAAACAGCAGTATTGGTGAATCTCTGTATAATAGTTTCAGTTTTATTTATTTTTTACTTTTAAATTTTTCTTTGCAGTGCTGGGGATTAAACCCAGAAACCCAAGCATGCAGAACAATTATCTACTGCTGAGCTACATCCCTGGCCATTTTTGTTTGGTAGTTGCTCTTTTATGCAAATATAAAACCTCATTTTTACTTTCATTGATAGAGATGTCATTAGTATACTTAGTTACTAGTAAGTATCAGTATCTTGAATGAAAGCGTGTTATTCCCTTAATCAGCATTCCTCATTTTATGCTAGCTGCATGGCAGCTAATTTCACATTCTGGTTCAATATCCAAAAGTAAAGTGTGTATACTTCCTCATAAAAACACCTGAAATGATACTGCAAACTGAAATGCTGCTTGTAAGTCATATCCTGACAGGAGCAATACTTTGCTTTTCTGGGATTGTAGCCACCATCAAAGGTAGATAAGGACATTATTTATTAAGTAAGGAATTTTTCATTTGTTAAATGATAAACTTTTGCTAGACATTTTACATATTAGACATTTTACATATTTTGACTACATGGGTTAATTAAATGATCCTATTAAGTATTATATTTACCAACTTCATTAAAATATTTATACAAAAAAATTGGTATAAATTTTTAATCAATTCTATTTTTGTAGGAAAAGAGTAGCAACAACTTGTAACTAAATGCTCTTTGAATGTATAGTGGTCTAGAAAATAAAAATTCTTATAAAATGTTGAAAATAAAAACTAAATAGCATGCAAAAACATAGACTTTGATTTAGATAATTTATTCATGAGTATTTAAGAATTATGGACTTGAGTTTTCAGAGTTTTCATTCTTCTGTCTGAAATCTTCCTGAGATTGTATTTATTAAAAATTCCAAATGGCATTATATGAGTAAAAATAAATGAACTCATGCTTCAGTAATATCTTGACATCTTATAGAAAGTTGAAATCTATTTTTATTCCAACTGTTTCATTTTATTTTATGGACTAATCTTATAGTAAGAGAGTTAATGTCAGGACCAGAGAGATGGTACCATGGATAGGGCACTTGTCTTGCACATGACTGTCTCAGGCTTGATCTCTAGCACCACATATTGGTCCACTGAACAGAAGTGATACCTGAACATAGAGCCAGAGGTAAACCCTAAGCACTGCTGGGTGGCCCAAGCATCCCCTCATTCCCCACGAAAGAAGGCAATATTATAGGCTGCATCAATGTGGCTCAAAGAGGCCATGCTTTGCATGTGGAGGACCTGGCTTGATCCCCATCACTGCTTAGTTCTCTGGGCACCCAGTTAGAAGTAGGCCTAGAACCTAAAGAAAAATAATACATCTTTACTGTTCCTACGAGGAGTTACTCCATAGCACTGCTATGTAGTTTTTAAAGCAGCCTGGTTTATAGAGGTCTAATGCAAATGCTTTTATAAGTTTTTTATAACTTATTTGGCTCAAATCCAATGTTTGCTAAAGTTTGAGTTTAAAAAGCGCACACTTTCTTGGAGGTGCACTGGGCGTTTGGAGAATGGTTCCTCACTGGTTCAGAGCCGGCTTTACTGCTGATCACAGTTCCTGATACATTTGGAAACGTTTTCTAATGGATATATGTGGGAGAAAATTTGTTGCAATATTTGTGTTTGTTCTGTTTTGTATTAAGGAAAACAAACCTGTCCCAAAGATGCCTTTAAAATAAATATTTGTATAAATTTCAGTTTCTTGGTAACACTCCAAATATGTTTGTATATATTTGGTAAGTGACTTAGTAAGTGACTGAGTCTGGATAAAGTTGAAAAATCCAGTTAATTGTTGATCACATCAATTATAATTCTTACACAACTATGTGCTTGTTTGGTGTTTCCATCTGAGTAAACTGAGACCGTTTTGTCAAAATTCTGCAGTGTTTCTCAGCAGGAATGAACCTGCCCAGCAGTGATACACCTGGTCTCTCTCTCTCTCTCTCTCTCTCTCTCTCTCTCTCTCTCTCTCTCTCTCTCTCTCTCTGACACACACACATACACACACACATACACACACACAACACACACACACACACACACCCCCCTCAGCTTTAACTGGTGGTGTAGATAGCCACACTAGAACTACTGAAAGTGTCATGGCACAAAAACCTTGGGAGGGAAGATATAAAAATAATATATTTCCATAAGGCTGGATTCTGAAAGAGACACCATGCTAACTTTCCCCTGTGGTGCTTCTCCCAATCCAGAAGTATGCGCTGAATCCTTCAGTTCCTCCATATCTTCCTCCGCATACTCCAGTTCCAGTGGAACCTCCCTCATGCCAATACCTTTGACTGTCAACTTCTGAGGCATCTCCGTACTTGTAAGCCTCTCAGTCTATTGTAGCACATTTAAAACTTTGATATTCCGTTGAAAAAAGTATTGCAGTAATATAAGCAGTGATCAAACCACCATTTAAACTGTTATGATGATCATAATATTTTTAAGTCATTATTACAACCATAGAGAAACCCATTTGGCATTTAATAACATTTGGTATATGTATGTTATATACATATTATAAAACAATATATATATATATATATTTTCCTTTTTAGTGCTGGGGAATGAACCAAAGGCCTCACACATGCAAAGCATGTGCTTTACTGCTGTGCACATCTTCAGCCCTTTTTAACCACACTCGTTTATCTGGCACAGTTAATAATATGGTTTTATTGAATAATGCCTGTAATCTTTTACTTAAACTGGCTTAGCAATAATGCTCTATAACCGGGGAGCCATCATAGGCATCTAAGTTATGTAAATGCGTTTCCTTAGACTCAGTGTAAAAGGGGGGAACCAAGGCAGCTCTGTTAGGAGGTTGTTCTAAGGAGATGGTGCTGGCCTGTGGCAGCATGATTGATTTCTTACTCGACCAAAATTGGGTGATTTTTCTTTGAAGAGCGTGCTTACCGGCACAGAGATTCCTACAGTGTCTTCCAAAATCTCACACTCTAGTGTGTAAGACCTTTGCCTTTCTGGTTTAGAGCTCAAACTGCCTCTCCTAGTTTTGATAATGTTAAAATTTTATTAGAAAAAATATTGAATTTCAAGGAAGAATTGAAAGCAGCAGCTTAAGATGATTTGTTCACCTTGAAACTTTCTGCCCTG